AAGAAATAATAAAGGTTCAGGCAGGATGGAAAGATGGCAAGTAGATAACTTATCATCATGCCTCAGAGAACTGGAAAAACAACAACAAACGAACCCCCAAAATGCCAGGCGAAAAGAAATAATAAAGGTTCGAGCAGAAATAAATGAAATAGAAAATAAACGAACCATACAGAAAATAAATGAAAGCAAAAGCTGGTTCTTTGAAAAGATCAACAAGATTGATACTCCATTGGCTAGACTGATCAAGAAGAAGAAAGAAAGAAACCAGATTAATCAAATATGTGATGAAACAGGCAATATTACCACGGACATAGCAGAAATACATAATATCATTAGAGGATACTATGAGCGACTTTACGCCAACAAACAAGATAACCTGGAGGAGATGGACAAATTCCTGGATGCATATAAACTACCAAGATTGGATCAGGAAGACATAGAGAATCTGAATAGACCTATAACAAGCCAGGAGATTGAATCAGTAATTAATAATCTCCCAACAAAGAAAAGCCCAGGCCCAGATGGCTTCACTTGTGAATTCTACAAAACTTTCAAGGAAGAATTAACCCCTATCTTACTAAAATTATTTCTAAAGATTCAAAAGGAAGGAAACCTTCCAAATTCATTTTATGAAGCCTCCATCATCCTCATCCCCAAAACAGATAAGGATATGACAAAAAAGGAAAACTACAGACCAATATCATTGATGAATATAGATGCGAAAATTCTCAACAAGATACTCGCAAATCGTATCCAACAACATATAACAAAGATCATTCATCACGACCAGGTAGGCTTTATACCAGGGATGCAAGGGTGGTTCAATATACGCAAGACCATAAATGTAATACACCACATTAACAGAAAGAAAGATAAAAACCATATGATCATCTCAATTGATGCGGAGAAAGCGTTTGATAAAATACAACATCCTTTTATGATTAAGACTCTCAGTAAGATTGGTATAGAAGGGTCATTTCTGAACACAATAAAAGCAATCTATGAAAAACCTACAGCTAATATTATACTGAATGGGGAAAAGCTGAAAGCTTTTCCTCTGAAAACAGGTACTAGGCAAGGCTGCCCACTTTCTCCACTGCTCTTTAATATAGTACTGGAAGTCTTAGCTATTGCAATCAGAGAAGAGAACAGTATTAAAGGCATTCGAATAGGCAAAGAAGAGTTGAAAATATCTTTATTTGCAGATGACATGATGGTATACTTAGAAGACCCAAAGGTATCCATGAAAAAACTGCTTGAAGTAATAAGTGAATACAGTAAGGTGGCAGGATACAAAATCAATATCCAAAAATCTATAGCATTTCTATTTATGAACAACAAGTTGAATGAAGCAGAGCTGAAGAAAGGAATCCCTTTCACCGTAGCCACAAGATGTATAAGATATCTAGGGATAAACCTAACTAAGAAAGTCAAAGACCTTTATAAAGAAAACTACGAGAATCTTAAAAAAGACATTGAAAGTGACATAAAAAAGTGGAAGGACATCCCATGCTCCTGGATTGGTAGAATTAACATAATCAAAATGGCAATTCTACCCAAATTAATCTACATGTTTAATGCAATTCCAATCAAAATACCAGAGATATTCTTCAGAGATCTAGAAAAGACAATTATAGAATTTGTCTGGAACCATAAAAGACCTCGTATTGCAAAAGCAATCCTGCGTAAGAAGAATGGAGTAGGAGGCATATCACTCCCTGATCCCAAGATATACTATAAAGCTGTGGTCATCAAAACAGCATGGTATTGGCATAAAAACAGACATGTGGACCAATGGAAGAGAATAGAGACCCCAGAAATAACTCCCAAAGCTTATAGCCAACTGATCTTTGACAAAGGATATCAGTCAATCCATTGGGAAAAGGAAAACCTCTTTAGTAAATGGTGCTGGAAAAACTGGGTATCCACCTGCAGAAAGATGAAACTGAACCCCCATCTTTCACCATTAACAACAGTCAACTCAAAATGGATCAAAGATCTGAACCTAAGACCTCAGACAATAAAACTACTTGTGGAAAATGCTGGGGAAACTCTGGGAGACATTGGAGTAGGCAAAGACTTCTTAAATAAGACTCCCAAAGCACAGGCAATAATCCCTAAAATAGACAAGTGGGACTATATTAGACTAAGAAGTTTCTGCACAGCAAAGGACACAGTAACAAGTGTGAACCGACAACCCTCAGAATGGGAAAATATTTTTGTTAAATATGCCTCAGACAAGGGACTGATAACGAGAATACATAGGGAACTCAAGTGCCTTATGCGAAAAAAAATGATTAACCCGATTAAAAGATGGGAAAGTGAGCTGAACAAAAGTCTCTCTAAGGAAGACATACGAACAGCCAAAAAGCATATGAGGAAATGCTCGACATCCCTCATCATAAGGGAAATGCAGATAAAAACCACAATGAGATACCACCTAACCCCTGTCAGAATGGCAAAGATTAAGAATATAAAAAGTGATAAGTGTTGGCGGGGATGTGGTGAAAAGGGAACCCTCCTACACTGTTGGTGGGAATGTAAACTAGTTCAACCACTGTGGAGAACAATATGGAGGTTCCTCAAAGATCTACAAATTAGAACTACCATTTGATCCAGCAATCCCACTTCTGGGTATTTACCCAAAAGACAGGAGAACGCTCAGTCAGAAAAGTGCTTGCACATCAATGTTTATTGCAGCATTATTCACAATTGCCAAGACATGGAACCAACCTAAATGTCCACAAACTGATGAATGGATTGGAAAAGTGTGGTATATATGCTCTATGGAATACTACTCAGCCATAAAAAATGACAAGACCCTGGAATTTGATAGAAAGTGGTCAGATATGGAGGATCTATTGCTGAGTGAAGTAAGTCAGGCTATGAAAGAAAGATATTGTATGTATCCACTCAATATGTACCGACTATCCACACTCTATGATAGAGAACACAAAATTGGAGGACATAAAAGCAGTGAAGGTACTTAATGAGAATAGGACAGTGTGGAATGGGGGAAGTGAAGAGAAGAGAATAGAGAAAGATAGCAAGTGAATAATAGAGAGGCAGGACATTAGTGAGAAACAGATATGGCTTATTAACTGTTGATGATGACATGTATAGTATTCTCAACTGGATTGGTCTGAGAAGTATTTCATGATGGGCAAAGTATTTTTACAAGCAAAATGAGAAATAGCGATGGACTGTTTAAAAAAAAATAATAATAATGATTGGGGAAAACATAGAAAAGGTATCAAATGTTGAAGCGGGGAGATTAATGTCTTTGTACTGACTGACATGCATGGCATTCCCTTTTGAAAAAGCAATGTAATAATACACTGTAAAGTTATATGAAATCCAATGTAATATAAAGAAGATTATGATGATAATAAAAATAAAAAAAGAATGAAATTTGGAAGTAAATTAATTCTATACAATAAATAACTTTTCTCATTAAAGTTATGAATAACAATAACTAGAGAAATATTTACCTATAAAGAAATATTTTATCGCTAATTGTGATCAAAATAAAGAATATCATATGTTTAAGAAAATAAGGATATAAGAAATTTTGGGGGAAAATGACAATGACATTGCTTTATTAGTAAGCTTATGCCATTAACATTTTTAAAAAGTTAATGTTTTTAACTCCCTTTTTTACTAATGCTATTTAAATGTCTTACAAGACTTATGGGCTGGCAGGTGGCATGGTGGTTAAGCACGCTGGACTCCTACATGGCTAACCATGGTTTGAGACCTGGACCTGGTGGCTTTTTCTCTCTCTTTCTCTCTCTCTCACTCTGCTCACTCTGTCCCTCTCTGGTCAAATTAAAAATAAATAAATAAAGTTAAAATAAAGAAAAAGACTTTTAAAATAAAAATGTTCTATTTTTCCTTAGTTTATGGCTCAATTTTATTTGATATTTCAAGAGTAATTGTAAAAACATAAAAAGGAACTTATATTTCAACTTTGTGAAATGGCAATCACATTGCAAAAATAATGTATTATTAAATTGGTAATATCTATAGAATTTAAAGAAATTTGTCAATTTAAAAGAAATTGTTAAACTAGAAGTTGATTGTTAATGTAACCAAATCTTTCTAGTGAGAGTTAAGAAGCATTAATAAAACAAAAGCATACAGAGAATCCAATAAAAAGTATATCTATTTACTGGGAGAATAAAATAAGAAATAGGATGAAGTTCAATTGTGAAATGGAGAGAAAATTTGCTGTTATTATCTCAGATACCTGGAGTATGTTGCTTCTTTTCTTAGCAGCAATGAAAAAAGACCCTGTCCTGGAGAGTGAAGAACAAATTATGAACCTATTTGCTACGACGACACAAAGGAGTGTTTGTCTGTAAGTAATCAAAGCCAAACGAAACAAAACTGGGAACAAATACTCATCCTGTAAATTCTTCATGATGCATTCAGATTTGGTGGAACAACAAGTTAGCCATTTTTCTTTCCTTAATTCCCATCATTAGGCTGCATAATTGAATTTGTTGCAAATCTGGTTCCATGTATTTCTTGCCATTAAGTAGGTGGGAAGTCATGTATACCAATAAGATCAATCATGTATGTGTGTGTGTATATATACCTTATATATTTTGTCTTCAGAGAAGCCATGACATGTTTTTTTTTCCTATGAAAAATGTGTCACGACTTTACAACAACCCAATATTATATATTTAAATAAATACGGCTACTATACATTATTTTAAAAAAACTATAAAAGTACACATTTAATACAAGAAAGTCTAGAATCCTTTCCTTTTTATATATATCATAAAATTTCAAGTCAATTTTTAGCATAAAACTCATTTGTCTAGTACTCTAAATTCATGTTTTCCTAGCGGAAACCAAAATTTTATGGCATCCATGCCAAACCAGGATTATACAACCCAATGTAAGAATCACAAACATCCCTTGCCAGAACTTAGAAGTCCTACTGAGTGGGTTTTCTAGATGAACAGCCTTCAGAACTCTGAAGTTCATACCTTCTTTACATGAGGAAGGGCATGATGTCCAGTCACTAAATGGGGTCACGATACAATCCTTTCTACAGGGAAGGAGACAAGGCCTTACTGTTTCAGGCCGGAGACTTTCAGGACACCTAGGTAAAGCAAAAGAAAATTATTAGGCCTCTGCAGTGGGCCAGAAAACCAGGTAATTTAATTTCTCTGGAATTTTCTTTGCTAAAGTTGTGAAATGGTCACTAATCTGTATTATTTAAGTTCCAGCAGCCTTTGTGCTTTTGATGAGAACTTTACAACTAAATTAATTATTTCAAACTAGACCTCATTAAGATTATCCAGGCAGGATGTATAAATTTAATAATAATAATAATAATAGTGCTGACTAGGATAAAATATAACAATTATACCTATACCCATCTAATAATCTCTCCATTCATAAATAGGCATTTTCTAATATCTTTATAAGAAATTTTGTGGGAATTAAATTAAAACCAATTTAAAGACCCAATTCTATAACTTATTATAACTAAATAAACTTTTTGCCTATTTTAACTTTCTAGGTTACTTTACACTTCGTTCCTACAAAATAAGTATAGCACAAAATAAATTTATAATAAAATACATTTGTTATACATGTTTATAAAATAATATTAATAGCTATATATTTCATAATAAATAAGTAACATAGTAATAAAAGTATATAAAACATTAAAATAAGCAGCTTTTTTTTTTTACTTGGTCTATTTAGTGTATTTATTCTTATTTTTCCTTCCATTTTTGTCCCTAGTTTTAAAGTATAGAATTTAAAATGTACTTTGTATTTTTATGAGCTACATATCTTTTTTGGAACAAAAAGTTAATATAAGTAAAATAAATCTAGTCAATTAATAATTTGAATAAAAATAAAATACTATGTGCTTAACATAAAGTTAGTAAAATTAACTGAATTTTCATTTTCAAAATGATAGCACAGCTTTATTATTTATTTGGAACATAGGAAAAAAATGACAAAATACTGAAATATCTTACATTATATAAAGTTTTCAATTCCTGAAAGATAATAGGAAGCTGATATACAGGTTTTAAATATACTTTCTTATTCATTATATACTTATTTTATCAATTCCTTTTTTGTAGCAGTCATGATCTATCTATCTAAAATATAATTAAACATTACAGATGGAAAACTAAGCCTCTCTCCTCTCTTACTATCGTAAGATTTCTAAATTTTCCAATTCTCTGCATTTTCAACAATCTGATTCAATTATTGCTGTGGTCAAATATTGGTCATGAACAGTAACATTATTAAAAAAATAGATGTCTATTATGAAAATAAAATATAATAACATAGTTCATATAATTAAAGTTAAGTTAATCTGGTTCCTAATCAATTCTCTTTTGAGTTTATGTAAATACCTGCCAAGTAAACTAACAGGCAATAAAGAAATAATTAAAAAAATCAGTATACCTCTTGGTGGAATAAATTGGCAAATCAATGAAAATAAAACTTTAAAATACCACACATAACAGAGTCAAATGTTTTGTAGATCAAGAAAATCTTTATAAGATTTTTCAAGTTTTATCAAGAAGGTAAAACAGGGGACTAGCAGTTAGTGCAATGGCTATGTCGCTGAACTCCTATGTAGCTGACTGCGGTTCGAGTCCTGGACCCGGTGGCTTAAACTCACGCTGGGTAAGTGTGCATGCATGCCCAAAATCCTGAGAGGAGAATGGAGGAGAAGGGATTGTGGCATGACCATCCCCCCTGGGGGGTGAGTTCTCGCTTTCTATCTCTCTGTCTCTCTCTGTCTTTCTGGCGAGCGCATGTGCCCTATAGCAAAAACCTCACCAAAAAAAAGAGAAGGTAAAACAGATTTTCAGAACGAAGCTAAGAAAAAAGTGGACACCATGAATCTATTTCTCATAATTTCATTATAGAATTTTACTGACACTTCATTTTTAATATTTTGTGTAATGTAGTCAATATAAAAATGAATTATTAGTTATTATAAATTATCATTTATACTAGATATGATTACTTTTAATTTATTATTTATCTACATGTTCTTTCTCATACATACAAACTGTGCTTTGTTCAATTATATAGGTACATGCTTTTCTCTCTCACTTTAAAACACTAGATTTATTTGGAATTGATTTTTAAAAAGATATAATCCCCACGTTTCAAAAATAATCTCTCTGATTTATGTGGAGTTTAGATTCTCTGAACTGTTGAACTATTGAACATCAAAGAAATTTAAATGAGAATCATAGAAGTTTGTGTATTATTACAATTTAGATGGTAAATCACTAGAATCACAATTCAGTCTGGAATTAAAATTTAACTGGGAAACATTATATGGCAAAACTTCACATATAATCCAGCTAATTCTTTTGGAGTTATTGAATTATTGGTCAGTAATTATTATTGAAAGCAGTCCTTTTTAGTGAGGCAATTTTACAAATTTAACAATGGGAGAACATTACTCAACTGCATGTTCTTCAAATATTAGCCCTGAATAAATCAATGGAATTTATAATGTTATCACTGACAACGATTCTGTTTTAGTTTAGGAATAGCCACAGCACGATACTTGGCTAACTGTGGAGAACAAAATTACTAACAACAAAGTCATTAAATGAACACACAAAGATAAATTATATAGCCTAGATTACACTCAATAAAACGAATTCAGACATCCTTTGGCGAGGCAATTGGTTCAGTCAACAGGCTTCTTTTTTCTTTGTACTGTTTGTATTTAGTGTTTGTGGTTTAAATCAAGAAATTGATTTCCCCCCAAATCTTATTCAAGGTCAAATTAAACAGATGTGATAGGAGTTGAAGTTTGTTACAGGGAGGATAGATAAGATCAATAATATTGATTTTACCATTGCACAGTAATCTGTTTTATTAAGAGGAGTTTAAAACAAGGTTTCTATTTGCATTTTTGTTTCAAATGTCTAGTATTGGAAAGATTGCATTGAATTTAACCTAGCATTTAGGGACAAGCAATAATGTTTTCTTTTTAACTCACAGTATATGCTTAATTTTCTAGAATTTTAAGGGCAAAGTAAATACATTTTATTTAACAAATCTATAGATGTATCCAGGTCATTGAATCAAGGCTGTATGGGCCAAGTAAAAATTTTAATGTATTATTTTGGTGGTCTGCCATGGACTTCAGGATATCCCTCCTCCTGAATGATTTAATGATGTTAAGCTAACAGACTTATACATATGTATATCTATTATTCAGCAAAAATATTTTGCAGTTTGTGAGAGAAAACAACAATAGTAACATTGTAAAAGTGGTTAAGTGTAGAGTCAGCCAGTGGCATGATAGTTAAGGGACTGGACTCCCATGTAGCTTACCATTGTTGGAATCCCAGACCTGGCACCTTGCTTTCTCTCTCTCTCTCTCTCTCTCTGTCTGTCTTTCTCTGGTAAATGCACATGCCCTTGAACAAATTAAAAAAAAATAATAATAACAATAAAAATTTAGAATTCTTAAAAAAACTGATCAACTGGTCAAATAAAAGTAAAGTGAACTTACTCCTAATGAAGTTCAGCACAATTTGAGTCTTCCTAGCCTCTGCTTGGTCCAATGGTTTGTTGGTTGGTTTTTTTTTTGGTTGAATTTGTTTGTTTGTTTCTTTCTTTTTAAAATGATTTTTAGCTGATATTCATGAAGAGCAGTGAGTACTTAGAGCTGTGCCACTAATGAAAAGAATTATATCTAAGAATGTACATTTCTTTACAGCTGTGTCATACCAACCTTGGGCCCTCTGCTGGAAAAGTAGAATCAAGTCCCAAATAATACCTTTTAAATTGTATCCTCTAGTATTATAGATGTAGGACAGTACTGTATTATACCTCTGTGAATGTAAAATACCTGTACCTGCTTTATGATACATAGTAGTGACCGTACTTTATTGGAGTTGTTTTTAATGATGCCCTAGAACACTAAGAAGGATCTCAAATTCTTAAGAAATAATGATACTTTTAATATTGTTGCGTATTTACTTTTACGGTTTTAATTTTGATGCAGGGTGCATGCACTAACTGAAGAGAGAGAAAGAGAGAGAGAGAGAAAGACACAGGGAGGGAAAGTGAGAAAGCACCACTCCCCAAGTCCCTGTGGATATGGCCACACCACAGTTCCCTCTCCTCCATTCTCCTTTTAGGTATATTTCTTTTTTTTTCTTTTTTTTTCTTTTTTACTCATTAAATCTGTTTAACACACCTTGAACACTGAAGCCAGAATTAATTAGCTATCATGCTTAAAATCATACACAATATTTAACCACTTAGCTAAGTATTTGAAAAATGTAGAAGTCACTTTAACAGCTATACAAATTGACTGGTTTTATTTTCCATCTTTCACATAGCTAAGATGATTTGAATTTTAAAAAATGTTTCTAGATTTCAAAAGAGAGATGTTTCTTCCCATTGAAGGAACTTTTAAACATATTTATTAGTTTTCTCTAAAAAGTCTATTAGCCTGATTATGCCATTACCTGTTTTTGTTTACAGTTCTCATAAGGCACATACAACATGCCAACTCTCTGGTACTTTATCCTCCCCTCTAGCAAACTGTTTGCCGTGCTATTATAGTACTCAAATCCACCATGAGAAACTGAGAGTTTTTCTGCTTATCATAGCACTCATCCTATCCCAGGGCTCTCCCTTGGAAGTAAATGGCTTCTGAATTTAACCATTGATGTATATGATAAGTTTGGGCTTAGTACTTTTGATAAAGCATTTTCTATGGTAAATGAAAGACAGACCATAGAAAGCTATTACCCAATTAAACTAGATTGGCAGCCTGCACAGCCTACGGGTATATGAGAGGTCATGGATGACCTGCACTGCTGGGACAGTCTGCTGTCATTATTAATCAACCAGGCCTGGAGCAAGCATTTCTTTCATTGTCTCACTAGCTTAATAAAAGCAGAAAGTGCTACTATAAAACAGATAGTAGGTACCAGCTAGAAAGATTGCAACAGAATTTATGGATCCCAGGTATAAGATTCTGAAGTTACCATAGCTTTATCAGCAGCTTGCATTCAAAACAAACAAATCTTACTCTTGAGAACAGGTATCACAGGCATCACAATGCTCCACTTCATGAAACAAGTGAAGCCTGAGCCAGTCTTCTGAATATTGGCCACAGGATTTATTGTTGTCAGCTTTTTTTTTTTTTTTTTTTTTTGAGAGATTTTTGCTATTGGGCACAGGTGCTCACTGGAAGGACAGAGAGACAGAGAGACAGTAAAAATGGCCGTGCCACAATTCCTTCTCCATTTTCCTCTTGGGATTTTGTGCACGCACACACATGCGCCCAGTGTGAGTTTTAAGCCTCTGCATCTGAGATTTGAACCATCGTCAACTACATGGCAGACTAGTGATGTAACCGCTATGCCATCTGCTGGTCCCAGGATTTATTGTCATTCTAAAGATCTTACTTTTTGGGTCCCACTTGGCCCACATTGACTCGTACACAGATGACTTTTCTTGTTTGCATGCCAACAGAGCAAGAGGCCTCCCCATTCCAATTTGTAGTGGTGTTGAAGGACGATACTGAGGTGTCCTCGATGCACTGGCCCCAGGGACCAGTTTGCCAGTGGTATACAGTACAAGGATGCTCATTACAGCTACGGACTTCTTGCAAAGCACTGCTATTAGGACAGCGGATTCCACCTAGAAAATGGATGATAGCAGATTAGATAAGTTGAAAACAAGAACCTCAAGAGTTTCTATTCCTTGGAATTAACAGAGCCCACCACAAGGATACCTGCCACTTAGCACAGAACATATGACCAGCACATTGCTAGGAAACAAAAATTTTTTTATTACTCTTATCTCCTTTAGCATGGTCTGGTTTAAAATATAAAATATAAACTACATGGTATATATAATATTTTTGTTTGGAAATTATGGAGGACCTTAAAGATATTTTTCATTGTTTTTTCTTCATTATTTTAGAGAATTTTGCTATAGCCATGTGCACTCACCATAGAGACAGAGAGAAACAGAAAGCAAGAAATCACCACCCAGGGAGGATGACTATGTTGTAATCCCTTTTCCTCCATTCTCCTCTTGGGATTTTGGGCACACATGCACATGCACCTATGCACCTGACATGTTTCAAGTTACTGGGTTCAGGACTGAAATTGCTGTTGACGATGATGATGCAGGAGTCTGGTGCCTTAACCACTACACCATGTGCTGGCCCCAGGCCATTGTTTTTCATAGAAGCTGATAATAATATAGAAATGAACCCACATGATTGTGCAATGAATGGGTATTGACTCTACACATGAAGAGTACCAAGTTTGTTTTCAAATGTTATCCCCCAAATTGAAAGTCTTAATTATGGTGTTAAAATACTACATACTATATTTAATGTATTAGGTTTTAAGATGGTTAGAAATAGTAATGTTAGACTTGAATGAAGGCTGGCTTCATAGCCTGATAGGTAAGGAAACTGGATTCCACATGACTGACCATGAGGTTTAAGTCCTGGATCTGGCAACTTGAGAAACACGCTGAGTGTGGGTATATGCATGCCCAAAATCCCAACTGAAAGGAAGTGTTGGAGAAGGGATTTCAGGGTGACCATTCCTCATAGGGGGTGCTTTCTCTTCTCCTTTTCTTTTTGTCTCTCTGTCTTTCTGACTCTCTCTGGTGAATGACATGCCATCTAATAAAAAAAAAATGGATGAGAGTTTATAATTTTCCAGGGCGCTATTGGAAAAGCTATTACATAAAAATATATTTTTTCAAATGTAAGATGACACTGGCTGTGTAATGTACTACCATTTTGTGTGTCCCAAAGAAAAATAAATGATTGCAAATTAAACCATCATAAAATGCTTTGTGATCAACTCTAATTTTTATTTCATGCTTATCAGAATAGATTTTTACGACTTAATTACATTTTCCATATCACTCTTTAGCATACATTAAAAGGAAATTATAAACCTTCTTTACTTTCAGAGTCCAAATCTTTTGACTCATTTTTTAATTTATACTTATCAGTTTGTGTTCTCCTACATAAAATCATCTTCTATGACCTCAGAGTGTTGGTGATGCAGGATTTCTTAAAAAGAGTTCTCCTTTGGGTGTCAACTGGTGGAAGAGTGATAAAATATAACCTTCTGTAAAGTAATCCTACAGAGAAAGTTTCCCAGTTTAAGTCCAGAAAAATCTTGGGGTACTCTGGGCACACACTGGTCTATGATCTGAGGCTGGCTAAAGGCTGGGGATGGATCACAGTGTCAAGATCCTTGTTGCAGAAAAACAGATGCCGAAGAACAAAAACGGCACTCAGGAGAGACGGGAACTTTTTGTTACATCGACAGACAAGGAGGAGTTAACATTATGAATCTCCTGTCCCAACTGGGGGTGGGACATGGTCTTTCATGGGGAATTGGGGAGGGAGGTCTCAGGATTTTAGGAATGGGGAAGGAGCTCAGAACCTGCCCTAAAATGGAGGTGGCAGAGAAGCCGGAAGTCTAACCTATTCAAGGTTTCAGGTTACCCTGTAGCTCCAGACAGGGGCAATCAATTTGCTGGAGGACAGAAACATGATGGCTTCAAGGCTGGAGGTTACAAATCACTTAATCAGATTAAGGACATATGGTCCAACTGTCAGTGCTAAAAGAATAACTGCTAGGGGCCCCAGGAGAGGCAGTAGCCATGGGGCCCATGTCCAGAACCCATTCCAACCTGCCCAGGAGTCAGCTGTGGCTTGTCACTGTTTGGAGACCAAATCTTTAAACTGTTTTGCCATGTCTCGGACCACACCCAATTGGTTGGCATAATATTAACATTCCTCCCAGAAACAGAGTCCACCCTTTTCAGCAGGGATTAACATTCCTCTCCCAGAAACAGAGTCCACCCTTTTCAGCAGTCAGGAGATCTAACCCCCTCCAGTTCTGAAGGACATCAACCAAGGAGTCTAGCTGGACTTGTAAAGTCTCAATAATATTCGCTACCTGTTGGAATCCATCTGCCAGGGCAGTGGACAGCTGCTGGTAGTAACAGCCGAGGATGCTCTCCCTCCAATCCCAGGCCCAACCACAGCAGCAATCCCCAGCCCCACTAGGAAGGGAATGAATTGTATTGCCCTCCAAATCTAGCATGTACTACCAGGGGGACATCAACAGTCTCTTTTCCCATAGAATGTCCACTTGGGGAGTGAGAATTGCCCAGGTACAGGTTCTGGACCAGGTTGCTAGAAGGCAGTGTTAAGCATAGGGCCTGCATGTGAGGTGGAACCCCAAGTATTGGAAATAAACTGTGGTCCTATTTTCTGGATATGCGCTGTGGCAGGTCATATTACTTACTTCAGTGGAACCTTGATTTGTAAAACAGCCCTGGGGCTTGGAGGATAGGTGTACCTGGGAGATTGGTCCTTCTCATACAGAGGTCAGATTACCAAATGGGGTGTCATTTGTAGGGTAGGTTGGAGTGGAATATATGTGAGGAAGGGCTGGTCAGGTGTAAAGCCAATAACTGGATACTAACTGGCACAACCCCAGGGGTTGATACAGGGGAGCATGGTTCATATTAATGAGCATAATTACTCTTGGATTGAGCTGGGGGGTTTCTCCAAGGTATACGGAGCCTCAACTAAACTTGGGGAGCCCGAGGCTTAAGTTTCTGTACTGTATATCCTGGACAGTAGCCTGAGCCTCTGTAGGACATTTACCTCCTCCATTTGGGAGCCCATACTGTCTGAGTCCTGTGTAGCAGACTCTTTTGCCTGCAGAGGAACAATTGTAACAATCATGGCTCTCTCTGTTCCTACCCACACAAGTTGTTCCATCTTCCTGACACTTTTGGAGGGTGACTAAATTGAGGCAGGACTTGTAGCCCCACCCCTGGTGTATGAATGCCAGCTGGCTCAGGAGCCCTGGAATGACCGTGGGATCCTAAATCATGGGCAGGTGATGGATCATTGGTAGGTAGGCATTAGGTTGCAACCAGATAGTGGCTTGCAGGATGGTTTGATTGCACCATTTGAGGTAAGGGGGAGTAGGTGCATGTCAGTCTTGGTAAAAGAGCAAGGGCCAGGGTCAGGAGTATCATTAAAGCAAAACTGGTATTAGGAATAGAACCCCAATGAAAATATCCCCAGTTAGTTAACCCAGGCACTTTAGGCCTATCAAGTTTCCTACTACTAGGAGGTATAATATTGCTAGCAAAAACCTTCCCCATAACTTCCAGCCTTTTGGGGCCACTGCTGCCAGATCAGTGGAGAGAAACACAGCCAGCACTATGGAAGGGATAGGAGCAGGAAATTATAAGGGTATGGTGGGGGTGTCATCTGTCACTGTCCTCAAGCTTCTGCTGTGCATAGATTGGTCAGTGTCCGCAGTGACCAAAGCAGGGCTATAGACTCCTCAAGCTTCGCTGTGCATACAGCAGCCAGCCGAGGAGTGACTGCAGCCAGGCTAGTCTTAATGACAGGTTTTGGTCCTCTGGAAGGTTATCATAGTTGGTTGCTCAGGGTGGTTTTCACTGTCCAGGTCCTAGGGTCCTCTAGTGCTGTGGCTTGCTTTACTCGTGAGTGGTGGATCTATGGGCTAGTCCTGCAACCTTAACTGAAGTAGAGGTAATAACCACAACATATGGCCCCAACCAGATGAGCTATAGGATTCTTTTCTCCAATTTTTTTTTTATGATTTTTTTCTTTTCTTTTTTTAAAATTTTTTTATACATTCAATCACATTATTTAGTTTACAAAGTGAACATTTCAATATGTGAACATTTCTCCCCAGTCCAGTTGATCAAAATATCTTCAACTGACACCACACTCTCTTCTCCAATTTTTAACCCACACGAGACCTCCAGGCTCATGTTTGTATACCCAGTTTCTGAGAGGAATGGGGGTTCTTTTTAAGTTGACATGGACTATTTTCCTGTGGGTGTCTGGATCTTCCCATTCAAAGGCACATAACAGTTGGCCAATGTCTGCTAGTTACAGGGAAAAAAAAGTGTCCTTGAGATCCAGGCAAATGAAACATTCAGACTCCCCAGGGAGAGCACTCAGCAAAGTGTATGGATTGGGATGTAAGGACACCATGGCAGCATTCACAGCTCAAGTCCTGGTCTGACTGATAGTCTCCAGTGGTTCCCTTCTTCACAGGGAGAAAGGGAGTATTCCAGGGAGACTGACATTTGACCAGGATTCTGGCTTCGCTGAGCCGGTTGATATGCTTCTTCATGACCAGTCTAGCATCTTGGCTTGTTGGGTATTGTCAAAGGGGCATGGGCTGTGCCAGACGTGTCAGCTTGACCACTACAGGTGGTGGTTAATTGCCATCCCTGGCAGGGTCTCTTCAGCCCAGACTGTAGAAAAGTCTCTAACAAGTGAAGAAAGTATCTCCTCATTTCTGTTGGATGCCTCGGGGGTGAAGATTCACCACTCCTCCTCCTAGGGCATTGTTACAGTTAGGTTTTAGGCAGGTACAAGAACTTGTGGGTAACCAAGTGTTCCCCAATTGGCAGCCTCTTGCCTGCGAGAAGGGCTGAGATCTGCTGTTTTCAGTGGCTCCCAAGATGAGGGAGCCAGAGGCTGAGTTATAAAGGTGTTCACTGTCAGTATCTACCATAAATGTTGTTGGTTGGCCCCCTGCCTTGATGTTGACCAGGGGCTCCTGGGGACCTAGAATCATGGAGCCTGGTCAGTC